CTTCACATCAATGTGCAAAGTGGAAAAAAGAACTGGAAGTACGTCGCCTTCGCCAAGTCACGAAAATGGACTATAAGACTGCTCGAAGCACTGTCTCGGACACTTTTGAGTCACAAACGGCGGGCGAAACTATGTATCAACAGAACAGGAGAACCCAACAGTCTATGCATAATCGACCTGTAAACACAAGCAACGCCAATACCAATCAGGAAAATGGTGCAACTTTATCTGTGTTGGGCAAGATGCCAGCCCAACATGAAAGCTTGACCCTAGTACGGGCTTTTCGAGATGCAGCCCACAACGTGACGGAGGTCCCTCAGGGTAGCAACGAGCACCCTGACACAAATGAAAGAGGCAAACAAGGAAAGTCCTACAGAAACGCATTAACAGGAGGATTCTCGAGCAAACAAACAGCACCAACGAAGGAGCCAGCTCGGTCATCACCGACATCTTTTGGTATCTGGTCCGCCATCATCCTGACTGCGGGGAAATACATACGAGAATTCCTCTAGGAATGTACGTTTCTAGTGGCAGGCTTTGCTCTGCAAGTATTGGACTATATTATACCTCTCTTAACTAACCTATCCAGATAAACAACCTCAATGCACGAAAATGGGCAGCACATCAATAGAAAATCTTATTAAGGACTCAACAGTCTTCCAATGAAATGCCAGAGGACTTCAAACACATATGTCAGATTCTCGACAATTTACGTGTCAACATAACTTCCCCATCATTGTGATATGTGAACCAGGACTTCCGAAAAATTTCAGGCTATCAGGATACGACACATTTAAATCCCTCCGATCCAATGGGCCCTGCCGCGTCATGCTTCCTATTCACCGCATTCGGTGGGAGTTGGAACCACGAGGGCGCCATAGTATTTGGTGCCCCAGTAGACTTCCGGTAGTGCATTTATTTCTTCTTCAGCAACACACAGCGATCGGAAAATAAGATTTTCCTTCGGAGAGGTACCTGTAATAGGTTTGTAAGAACCTACGCGCTTTGTAGAACGTAGTACAATTAACAAAAGGATGTGTGACAAGAAGAAAAGAAGAGGAAAAACCGGAAGCGCGCAGGGGTCCGCCGATAGTGGGCGGCAGCGAGCTTGTTTGCAAACAAACTTCGGTGAATTCGGAAGAACCTTACTTACATCAATCATTACATCCCAGAACATGCAAGCAATGAATATGCGTGTGCAACAGTCAAAAATGGTTCGCACATCATTTCTGTGATAGCGGCGTACATATCGCCCCGTGCAAAATTCGACGAAGTCCAGTTTGAGGGTGTACTAAAGACGTGTACTTCACCTTACGTCATATCAGGGATTTTAACGCTCACCACCCACTGTGGGGCGGCAGCCATATTTATCATCGAGGTAAAAAACTTGCCGAGTGTCTGAACCTACACCATCTAAACATTCTTAATGATGGCTGCCCAACGTACCTACGTGGCACTACGTATAGCAGTTGCCTCGACCTTACTTTCGTTTCTTGTGAACTGCTTCCTTACACTACCTGGTTCTCAGATATTGAAACCCGCGGAAGTGATCATATTCTAACCTACACCATCATAAAAGAATTTTCAAGACGAAATGTTCGTCACCTTATTCATCGCATAAACTGGCAAAACTATCAAGCGTCGATGGAGGACTTCTGTACGTCTTCTGCCGGTTTGCATGAATTCGGCACTGCCATTGTCGCGGCAACAAAAGCTGCGGCAAGAGGTTACAGCGTTCCCACAACCCGAACTGCAATCGACGGGGAATATAAGCATCTGCGAGCTGTCCGTCGCCGTGCGGAAAGGCGATACAGGAGGACCAAAGACAGCAAGGATCTCCGTGAATCTCGCAGAACACACACACACAAAAAAAAATAATAAGCCGACGCTTCCAAAAACTTCGAACTGCCAAATGGAGAACGAAGTGTTCAAAATTTGATCCCAGAAAACCACTTACGGGGATTTGGCGAATTGCACGAGGTTAACGAGCAGTCCATCAACGATATCCTTTCCGCGTCTTATCTCTGCACCTGAATGTATCTGAAATCGATGCTGCCGAAACTTTCTGCCGCTACCCAACCCAAAATCAAGCGGCCTCTATTATAACTAATGCTTCTCTACAAGGGCGTGTACCATCATCATCCGACGAGAGAATGAACCTGCCCTTTACGCAGGAAGAGCTCCGGGCAGCCCTGGCAACGGCAAAGCGGGCTTCGACCCCAGGACCTGATGAAATCACGTACAGTGAGTGCACTTGGCAATCTTGGCTCTCGAAGCCGAAAGCAACTCCTTGATTTTTTCAATCGTTCGTGGGAGACGGGTCAGATACCCTCAACATGGAAGACCAACACGTATCGTACCCATTCTCAAGCCTGGAAAGTCACCATACGATATTGCGTCTTACAGACCAATAGCACTATCTAGTTGCATGGGAAAAATAATGGAAAGAATGTTGAATTCTCGCCTATTATGGTACCTAGAGAAGAACAATTATTATCCAGAAATAATGTCTGGTTTCCGACGCGGTCGAAGTTCTATAGATGGTGTTATCGATCTGGTATCATTTGTAGAGCAACAGAGGACACGGCGACGTCTCACAACAGCTGTATTTCTTGACATCAAAGGCGCATATGACAACGTGACTCATGAGGCCGTCCTACACGCCTTAGAAGATCTTGGTATTGGGGGGGGGGGGGCGCATGTACTCCTGGTTGAAGAGTTACTTGACGAGGTGAAATATCTACATGTCTACGTGCGATGGAAATACTACATCACAAGTCATAACAAGAGGGGTACCAGAGGGCGGTGTTCTAAGCCCAATTTTATTCAATACAGTCTTGATTAATCTTGCTGAAGAACTGCCATCAACAGTACACGTATCACTTTATGCTGACGATATTTGTATCTGGGCGTCTGGTGTAGCACGACCTCAGATACGGGCAAGACACCAATGTGCTCTGAAGACAATACATCAATATCTAAGAAAGCGTGGACTCGAGATCTCCGTCTCAAAGTCCGCTGCTATGACATTCTCTCGCAAGCATATGGAGAGATATCCCGTTGTTATCGGTGGAGAAAAAGTCCCCAGCGTTCGGCAGCGTAATTATCTCGGATTCACTCTGGACAGAGGTCTTACATGGACGCCTCATGTTTCACGACTCAAGATGAAATTGACGTCCATAATGCATCTTATGCGATTTATCAGTGGTACAACATGGGGCGCCACCGTAGGCTGCCTACAGAATCTGTTCGAGGCCTTCTTTCTTGGACTTTTGAGATACCACTTGCCTATTCTGGACAACACCTGTGCGAGTAATATACGAGCTATCCAGTGCATTGAAGCCCAAGCTCTACGCGCCTGCTTAGGGCTGCCACGGTGTGCTTCAACGTCCGGGACAATTGCGGAGGCTCGAAGGTTTCCAATTGAAGCATATATGATACAAGAAACTGTCCAGCTACATTTAAGACACCTTACAAGACATCCGAACCACCATCTGGCCACGTTACCTTCAGAGAGACCAGAGTCTGCCTTCTCCAAAGCGATAACGAAACACAATTTTGTTTCAAGTGACCTATTTCCTGTATACAGAGGGAAGGAATACCACCATGAACCTTTCTGAAGCCGAGAATAACGTTATACGTAAAGGGTATACATAAGAAGACGTCAATTCCACCTCCGGTTCTCAAACAACTGACATTAGGAGTCATCAATGAAGCATACGGCTTGTCGACACATATATACATGATGGGTCGTCCTCTGAAACGCTGTCTGGAATTGGAGTTGTCATACCTGCGCACAACCATACCGTCAAGATAAAGATAAGACATCGAACGACATCAACGGCTTCCGAATTAGCTGCCATACGAGAAGCAATACGGTACGTTATGTCTCGATCACCGCAACCATGGACGATCTTCAGTGACTCAAAGTCAGCATTACAAATAATACAGACTTTCATCAAACGCAATGCGTACGACCAAATGGCATATCAGGTATCCGCTCTTTGCCATCAAGCCCTCATAAAGGGCCACCAGATTTCCATTCAGTGGATACCAGGCCACTGTGTCATCCCCGGAAATAATGCAGCAGACAGAGCCGCGAAGTCAACGATCAGTGCCGATTCAATTCTGACACCTTACTCCAAAAGTGACAGCAACTCTAAAGTTCAAGCCTTGGCAAAGACAATTTTATTAGGGCACTGGATGAACGTAAAAACACACGACCGGAGATTATACTCTCTAGACCCCCAACGAACCTTTCGCGCTCCATCCGGTGTTTCAAGACGACTGGAAAAAACTCTGCACCGACTGCGACTAGGTGTAGCATATACACCGCAGTTCCTCTGTCGAATAGGACAGAACATCTGCGGGGATTGCACCAGCTGTGAGGTGGAGGGGTCAATTGAGCATATCGTATGCCAGTGTGTTGAGTTCGAGGAAGAACGCCAAACGCTTCAAGAAACATTACAAAAAATAGATTCGCGTCCGTTTAGCGCTTTCAAAGTGCTTGGCAGCTGGGACACGACCGAACAGTTTATGAAGGCCACCGAGGCTCTAATACGATTTCTGAGAAACACAGGATTTTCGGACAGACTCTAAATGACTGAGAACTTTATATGAGACTGCTTACATAATTCACTAGATCATAATCATCTTCATTGACAATTTTCACCTCATATTCCTACCCCACTGCTATGTCTTTCCTTCCCCCTCTCCCTATCCCCGGTGCAGAGTAGCAAACTAGAACTGACGTTCGGGTTAAAATCTGCCTTTCCTTCATAAAGCACTACTACTACTTCTCTTAATGCGTTTGTTCCAATAATTACGAGGTAAGCGTAACTTAATGCAAACTTATGTAAAGTTGATTTGATATTCGAGAAAGTGCATTCAACATTTGTGTAGGATATCCCTCAAACAAGCCACATATACTTTTCTGTCCTGCACCAAGTAAAAAAAAGGCGAAGATCGATTATTTGCATTCAAGATTCTCAGGACCTCACCTTCGATGACGTGGACCACGAGGTCGGACTTGTCGAAGTCGTACTTGAGCCTGAAGTGGAGCCTCCCGAACTTAGAGGCCACAGAGCCGCCGGAGCCGGAAGGAGAGCCGCAGCTCGACGAACGCGCCTCTCGGGATTGGAAGAACACCGTCTCCTTCTTCTTGTACAGGTCCGGCTGGATGTTGCCTGCAAGACACTCCCTTTCCAATACCTTCCTTCCGAAAATCGCTGACGTGCGTTCAAACCGAGAAACTTGAACGTCAGACTTGTGTTAACGCTTTTACAGTTTTTTTAAGCACGGGAGAAATTGTCAGAATGTCCAATGCTCGTTACTCCCTCTATTGTACAACTGACCTGCACACACCTTTGCTATAGCATATCGCCGCTAAAGGTTTTTTTTGTGAAATCCTGGCATATACAAAACGGCGAGTCCCTCGCACGGTGAGGCAGAACCGCCCCCGCCTGAAGGAAAATCGGCGGGCTTCCACAGCTAAATTACGCTGTGGCATCGTCCTGGCAAAACGCAGACACGGCGGCACTCGGCCCCTGTGGGCTTTCGAAAAAGGTCGCAAAGGGATGTTTGTCCGAATTCGTGCTTCACTATCTTTGAGCCGCCCCGTTTTGAGTACGTTACAACCAAAGCAGCAAAGGTTCGCTGCCTGTCACCCCCTTTTTCGTCTGTGTTTCTACTTTAACCAGCCAAACCTCAACGCCGTCTAGCAGAGAGAGCAGATATGAAGGGACAGAGGGAGTAGGCCGACCTTCAAAATCCTTTTCTGCAAGGTAAGAAAAGCCTCCTCGCCACCCTCTTCATTTCCCCCTCCCCACTGCTAGCTTGACGGCGGGGGGACTCCTTTTGTTGCTGCAGCTTCGGGCTGGATAAGCCAGGATAAGCTTCCGGCTCATCCAGCCCCAAGCTGCAGCAACAAAAGGACTCGCCCCCTCCCCGTGAAAATAGCAGAGGGAGAGATAAAAATAGGAAGGGTGGCGAAGAGGATTTTCTTACCTTGCACAGAACCTTCTGTAGGTCGGGCTTTAAGCAAGCGCCTCGCAGTCATGGCAGCAGTCAGGCGCGCGCTTAAAAGCATGCTTCAAAGTCTGCGGTAGTGCGGTGCGCGGAACACGGTAAAAGGTTTACTAAAAATTCCCAATGGTGGAATCTTTCCGAGCCGTCGCTCCTATTGTAGTGTGGCCAACATAACTGTCGTCTGCAATGCCTTTTTGGCTCTTCGCCGAGAGCGAAAGCGCTCTCCGTGTAGGTAAAGTCATTGGATCCTGGGAAAGTAACGCCATTGCCTTCCCTACTTGCTAGCCGGATACAAACGGATACTAACATGCAGACGACCGAAACCTCGCAAGGCGATTGGCTAAGCTGTCCACGTCGCCATGGAAATCGCCATTTCGGTCCATTCAAATCTTCGAAGCTTCCAGAGAGTCGTTCTAAACCAGTCGCGCCAACATCACCATGGAGCATCATCGTACTGGACGCGTCCCTCGCCAATATAAGCGTATTTGGCACTGTGTATGCAATCAACATATCTATCACGCCCATCTCCACGGATGTCATACAATTATATTGTTCTTCTTGCGTGTTTCAAGACAGTAAAATTAGTTTTCAGCGCCTCCAAGCATCGACACAGCATGGGGTGGTGGTACGAAGATGAACGCTTGTTTCGCCGGTGTATGGATAGCAAAATCCCGGTATACAAGAAACGTCTCCCTAAAGCTACCCGTCACCACGAATTTAAATCGGCTCAAGAAGAATGGAGAGGTCAAGGAGGAATCGCTCATTTCATGAGCCAAAATGTCGACCACAAGGGGATCTTGGCGCTACCTTCCCAGGATCCAGTGGCTTTAGGGGTGGGGAGAAATAGGCTTGAAATATTACGGCAAGGAAGCATGTGTATCTTCTTAAGCAGTCCCATGTACGCACATTTAAAGTTAGAAATGTTGGCATTAAGCAAAATCAGCCGGAAAGGCCGAAATGGTGACAGGTAAATTCGCTGTGTTACAGACCGATAGTTTATTTAGTCGACCTTCGGCTAGTGGCTGAGAAAAGGGGGGAAAGAACGAGCTCGTGTTTTTGTAACATTCAAATGCAAACTACCGGTCTAGTCGGTAGAACTGTATGACAATCTTTATGCCTAAACCACATAGTTTTGAATTCAAAGACACCTAGGTTTTTGAAGTTGTATTACAATTATGACATTTCCTCAATGTTATCACATTCATTATTGGTGTTCGAAATACAAGCATTGAATTAGTGCGAGTTTGTTTCATGATCTCTCGCGCACTGCAGCTTTATGTCAATAAATGTTCATGAGTTTTTAGAGGAAAAAAAGTCAAAGCCGTTTACAACTCCCTGTAACGCCGAATTAGAGCGCAGCTCTTGAGGAGGAGGAGGGAAGGGTACTGGGGGGGTCAAGTGACCTTGGGTGGGGGTCACGTGACGATGCCGATGACGTCATCAGTGACGATGACGATGCGGATACCGATGACGTCATCAGTGACGTCACTGATGACGTCATCAGTGATGATGACAATGACGATGCGGATGCCGGTGACGTCATCAATGATGATGACGATGCGGATGCCGGTGACGTCATCAGTGACGTCACTGATGACGTCATCAGTGACGATGACGATGCGGATGCCGGTGACGTCATCAGTGATGTCACTGATGACGTCATCAGTGATGATGACGCTGACAATGCGGATGCCGGTGACGTCATCAGTGACGTCACTGACGATGTCAGGGGGTCACGTGACCCCGGGGGTCACTTGACTTGGGGAGCCACGTGACTTTGGGTGTCACGTGACCCGAGGTCACGTGACCTTGGGGTGACCTTGGGAAGTCACGTGACCTTGGGGTCACGTGACCATTGGGGAGGGGTCACGTGACCTTGGGGAGACCTTGGGGGTCAAGTGACCTTGGGATGACCTTGGTTACGCCGACGGCGACGCCGACGCCGCTCAAGCCGGGAACGGGCCCCTAAGAGCTGAGCTCTAAAAACTAACGGTGAAAATAATGGAAAGGCCGCCAGTCAGACACTAATCGCTCCGGAATAGGAAGTGCTTTGCGTTTATCTATGTCGCTTGGTGGAGTCGCCAGAGCCACTCGGCACAACAAATATATATTTTATTTAAAGCGTTACCGCCAACAATGAAAACAACCCGCTCCACTGAGGTTCCTAGCAGCCATATGTTCGCTTCCCCGAAAAGCACGTCCTAGGACGGCGCGGTTGATGACTAGATGTTAGAGTATTCTTTTTTTTATTTTTTATTTTTATTTAAAGGAACGTGTAACATTGTTACATTACTGATTACGTATTCCCAGAAGTTAAGAAAAAAAATACACTACAAATTTTTGTGTCTTCCTAGGCGCGAAGTAATATAAATTTTTGAGTTTTTCGAGTTTTTGGTGTTTCTTTCTTGTGAGTATTTAGGTGGAACCGTCCGAAAGATAATGTGATTATGTTCAGTTTCTGGATGGACATAATGTCTCTTGAAATATCGCGCTTATGCATGCCTGTCACGTCAAAAAAAAGTAAAACGTGTTATTGCTACATGTAAATTTAATTATTTATTTGACATACTGTCAGTCCTGATTAGGACTTTGACAGGAGTGGCTAACGCTAAAGTAACGTGCGTTACTTTTTAACGATAACGGTAAAGCGTTCATTTTATTAGAGAGTTTTAGAATAGCGCACGTTAAAGCTTTGCGTACGCAAAGAATAGCGTCGTCGCCACTGCGCATGCTCCAAACGCAAATCATGTTTTGCCCTTTGCGTGCGCAATTTTAGCGTGCCCTATTTCTCGGAAATCGCGTGCGTACGCAAAGAGTCTTTGCGCTTCTCCAAGGAGGACTCGTGATGAGAAGTTGGCTAAAGCCAAGGCGAGCACAGTTAAAAAAATGGCGGCTTCCAGGATTATGTCGGCGGCTGCTTTGGCGGCGTCGTAAGTGCGACGTCGGCGACATCCTCGCGACTGCGATTTTCAATGCGGGACGACATTGTACGTTGTTTGTTCAACGACCCCCGGCAACTTGATGCTTGCGACGCGCGAAAATTTCTCGGCGAAGGTACGATGTGCGAAGGTCAGTACACGAGACCTCCCTTGCCGAGGCGACGCAAGCGGACAAGACTTGTCAACCGCTCGGGTCGCATTCTCATGTTTAAACAATTCTAAAATAGTACTCTGAACCAAAAAACTTGTTTTTTTTTCTAAAGTTACAGCATTTCGTGTGTGAAATAAAAATTGCGACTGTATCTTGGTGGCGTTACAAGCGCGAGCTGCTTGGGCTTTTGCGTCGCAGCGGAGAAACGCTATTCTAAAACTCTCTTGCGTCGCGTGCGCTAATACAAGCGCTAAATTTAGCGCTAGCGTGCGCTAAAATTGCGTACGTTATTTTATAACTTTCTACTGTACACGGTTTGGCAACGATCACCGGAAACTTGATGCCTGCGACGCGCGAACATTTCTCGGCGAAGGTCAGTACACGAGACCTCTCTTGCCGAGGCGACGCAAGTGGACACGATCGGTCAACCGCTCGCGTCGCATTCTCGTGTTTAAACAAATCTAAAATGCTACTCTGGACCAGGAAACTTTTTTTTTCTAAAGTTACAGCATTTCGTGCGTGAAATAGAAATTATGACTGTATCTTGGCGGCGTCGCAAGCGCGAGATGCTTGTGCTTTTGCGTCGCGACGGAGAAACACAATTCTAAAACTCGCTTGCGTCGCGTGGGCTAATAAAAGCGCTAAATTTAGCGCTAGCGTGCGCTAAAATTGCGTACGTTATTCTAAAACTTCATATTTTGAAGTAACGTAGGTCATTACCGTGTTCTTTTTATTTGCAAGTAACGAATAACGTATTTCGTTCCTTTTTTTTTTTTTTGGTAACGCGACGATTAACAATGGTTGTTTTATCGTCGCAAAGCGTGAAAACTTATTTACTACTAGGATATGCCCCCATCCAATGGGTCATTCATTGACCTCTGCGGACTGCCATATAACGGGAAAACTGTCAAAGTACCGGTAACATTATTTATTCCAACGGTGATCACTGAGAACAGGCGTTCTTTAAATATGGCGGTATAAAAGGCGGAAGAGCGTTCAACGGAGTCAGTGACACAGGGTAGTGAGCGTTCCTCTCGCTGTTTGCAAATTCTCTGTATGTGCTCACTGTGTGATTGGTTCATCTGATACTAGCGCGTGCGTTCGAATCTGAAATGCATGTGTCTATGACGAAGATGTTTGGTGTGCAATAACTGCGCCAGCGAACAAAATGTTTTAGGGGCGAAGCTCCTTAGGGTCTAGCTTTGTCCGTCCGGCGTCCGTGCTCACATCGATTGCCATCCCATCCGTCTTCTTAAAAAAAGAAAAATGTTTGCGCAGTCGACAGGTTTCGAACCTGTGCGGGGAGACCCCAATGGATTTCTAGTCCATCGCCTTAACCACTCGGCCACGACTGCGGGACGAGTAGGGGGCTCTGAGATGTGGTAGTAACTCAAGAGCTGGGGATGTTGTCGAAACGCAACCCGGAACTCAGCACTACCTATGAGCAATACAAAAACATCAGCACAATCAGCACCACCTGTGAACAAAATCAGTATCATCAGCACCACCAGAGCTTCGCCCCAATCAACATCATTCACCACGTGGAGATGCGGTCATTTTTTTTCTTGTCCTCGAATTCGGTTGCTACCGCTACATAACCCAGCTACTGGCAATTACTCTGCTTGGGCCTGCTTAAGTGGCGAGCGATGCAAGTTTATTTCACGTTCCCCGATGTTTTCTTGTTAGCGTGCCTCAGCCAACTAGATGGTAGGTCGGCTGATTTGGCTGTTTCGAAAGTGACTTCTAGTATCGCGATGTGTTTACTACTTTGTGATGTGCGGGGCCAACAAAGGAATTGTGACGCGAGGAATAGCGAAGATAAGACGTGAAGTGCGCGATGTCGCCGGGTTTCGTAAACTCCGCATGACATCGCAGTGGACTCCGTATGTCATCGAAACGTAAATCTTGCCACGTGCGCGAGAAGCTGCCTTCTGCATTAAATATTGTTCATGAAACGCTCATGTTATGTTCTTATTTACATCGTGCCCGGAAAGCATTCTCTTCTTTGAAGGTTTGCGAAACGGCTGATCGCTTTTCTAGCGAGTGCTGTTAAACAGCCACTAGGGTGCCGCCAATGGCGCGAAACATTTGCCTGTCTGAAAACTATACTACCTTTTTCTGGTTGAATAGCGGCAACGCTCCACGTAAAGACCGACAATATGCGTAGCATCCTGGCGTCCTCGCTGAGCCTTATACTAAGCTCGGTTCACTCGATTCAGAGCCGGGATATTGCGATGAAGACGTGGAAGGAACTTTGCTTCCCCGTTTGCAGGGACGAACGTTGCTCCGTTTCTAAAGAAATATAGGGGACAACAGCGTTCTTCTCTTTATGAAGGATTATTCAAAAATGTTCCAAAAGCCGGGCGAATTTATGATTATGCTATTACTTTGTTATGACTGCTATTATGATTGTTATATTAAGTAGGAGTACACCTTTTAATCATGAAGGAATATATAAGCCCCTTTTTCTAAGAGTGTAGCGAGCTCTCACTGGAGGCGTGCGACAACGGAGTCCCTTCCATCCCTGAACGTTTGGCTGTGCAGACTCGTGGAGGGCGCCCTCGGGGCCGGCTCACCTATCGGGCTGGCGGCTCCGGGGTCCGAGTTGGAGGTGTAGGCGGGCGACAGGAGCGGAGACAGCGAGCGGGGCCGCGGAGACGTCGGGGGCGCCGGCGACACGGGCCTCTCGAGCAGGTTGGACGACGACGGGCACTCGGGCGACGGCGTGCGCAGCTTGGGCGACAGCGGGGCCAGCGCGGGCCTCACGGTGTCCTGGCTGTCGGCGCGGCCCGAGATGGACAGCCGGTGCATGAAGGGCATGGCGCGGGCGTCCACGGACTTGGCCCGCGACACGACCGGCGAGCGGCGCCTCATCGAGGGCAGCGAGTAGGACGAGTGCGACGGGGACACCTTCTCGTCGGGCAGGTGCACGTCCGGCAGTGAGAGCCGCACGCACACGCACGGCTCGGCCGAAGTCGTACCCGTCGCAGGCGCCGTGCTCGTGGCCACCGTCGGGGGTGCCGGCCCCGCAGTCACCGACTCGCCTCTCCTGGGCTGCTCGCGGAAGATGGCGAAGTTCTGCGGGGAGAGCGCCATGTGCGCGCTTCAGGGAGAGCCACTGCTACGCTCTGAGTATAGTTCTGAGCACAGTCCAAGTTAAGACCAACGTTCTTAGATTTATCAGTTAACAAGCTCCACGGAAGAGAGACCACTTAAAAAAATGCACTTACACCCTGGAGACGTTCTATAGAAAAGAGTCCCTCGAAGGAACATAGGGTCCCTCTTGAAGATAAACGTTCGGCAGCCTTCTGCATGGTTAGGATTAGGCATGAGGCGAAAATTGGGGACTCTAACCAAAAATTTAATGAACATTTACCCGACGTTCTGGGACCAGTACGGTCTCTTGCTCACGGGTGAGTGACGAAAAGAAAAGAACACGCGTCGCTAAATGCATATACGAATGTAGGGGGCTTTGCTTACGTCACGGAGTCCCGAGACGTAGCTGCTGGGCAGGGAGCCCGAAAAACGCCATGAGCCCCAATACCTTCCTATCATCATCCTAGGAGTCTCTTATAGAACATTCGCCAAGGGACATCCTACAGACATTCTAGGTCGACCGACATGCTAAGGACGTCTTATGAGTAGCCTAGGCCGCAGTTCTGATACCTGATAAAATCCAGTTGAGAGTAGAATAACCGTAGGATGTCACTACAAAGGCAACATGATGTCTGTGTCATGTCTTCTACAGGAGGCTCTTAAGGTCCTAGGACGTCCACAGCCATAGAATGCTGCTACAAAGGTAAGGTAAAAGAACGGTCGTCCTGATCTCCTTAAATGAGCCTAGGACGACCGTAGCTAAAGTCTATAGAGCATGCTGGTAAAACAGAAACAAGGGATTGATCTCAAATCTCCTAGAAGATTATTACACAGCCTATTTCGAAAACAAGTACAAACGTGCAAGCGATTTGTGAAATGCAAAGAGACACTACTAAGTTGTTATACAACTGAGAAGATTGCAAAGCTAACAAGACCTGGGGGAATTCTAAAGCCGACCCAGAAGAGTACCCGTAGAAGAGCGGTCAATCGTCATAAATAAACTCTGTAGAGCGTGTTGGTAAAGGTATTCTCTTGGTTTTTTAGAACTCTAACAGGTGCACATACAACGTGTTTGTAATAGCTTAATGTCAATCCGTTAGCGTTCTAAAAACCAAGAAAATTCAAGACATTGTCACCAAGAAGAGGTTGCACTGAACTTACGATAACATTTTCAGACTTCAAAGATGTAATCCGAGATTAATGTCGACGGGGGCACTTTTTATTTATTGATACTGCTATCTCCTTCAAGAGATATGGTAGGAGGGGGGTGCATAATGTTTTCAAAAAGTTATACACTTCTAGTCATTTCATGCAGACGGGAACAAGATAGTGAATGAAATCATCATACAGTGTCGAATAAAAAATAAAGCAAAACAGAAAAAAACCTACAAGAAATATCATTAATCGCAGAAGTTACAATAACTGCGGAGGTTAGCAATGAGTGATGAATCAGATGAAGCATTTAATACATGACTGGGTAGGGCATTCCAATCATGAATGGTCCTTGGGAAAAATGAGAAGTTAAATACATCGACCCTAAAGCTGTATTCTTGTAATGATCTACAATGAAAATTTCGCATTGACTAATTTTGAAGAGCAGGTGAAATATATGTAGAGGTGTCAATATTAAATTGGTTGTTTTGTAGGTCGAGCGAAAATTTCAATCTTTGAAACATGCGTCTATGGGTTAATGAGCTAATGCTGAAACACATATAATTATGAAACCGGGTATTGTCTCTGAAATTTGTTGTATATGAAAAGCAAACCTTTTATCTCAATGAATTCAAGTAACTTTATGTTAGTTTTAGTGAACGGGTCCCAGATAACGCATGCATACTCTAATATGGGCAAAACAAACGTTTTGTAGGCTGTTAACTTTACATCGGATGAGGTTTGCTTTAAATTTTGCAGGAAAAACTAGAGCTTAAGTAATGCGTTGCGCACAATGCGCCTAACATGGATGGTCCAACGCAGGTCATTTGAGATGATTACTCCGAGGTATTTATAGGAAGTCACTTCGGCTAGAACAGTATAATCAATGAAATAATTGTAGGAAAGAAAACTAGTTTTGCGGGTTATATGCTTTCGAAATGATTTGTTAACATGTAGAGACATCCGCCACCAGTCACACCAATCGTGTATCTTGGATAAGCAGCTGCTGAGTAAAGTCTGGTCACTAACATCATTTCCCTCAGTGAAGATAACAATATCGTCCACAAATAAACGTGCTCGCACAGGAATGTTGGCAGTAATTTTGTTTATAAACACTGAAAAAAAGTAATGGCCCAAGGATTGACCCTTGTGGAACGCCCGATAGCACAGGGACCAGCGAGGATGCACTAGAGCAGGGGTGGCCAAGCTGCGGCTCGCGACCCGCATGCGGCTCTTCGCTTGTTAAAGTGCGGCTCGCGGCCCCCTCCCCTACCGCCCCCCCCCCCCCCCCCTCCCTCCCGGTCACACGAGCGCTTCGCTCAAAAAGAAATGGAACCTGTTTTAAATCAAAAGACAGGTTGCGGTTTGGTAGTTTTCTGCGACTGCTACCTTACGTACAATAGGACTGCTTTTGACTCGGATAGATTGAAAGTAGTTCGAGTTTCATTTATTGCTCTGGGCAAACGTTTGCACCCCACCCCCCCCTTCGCGGCTCTTGCAAGTTGCGTGGTTTTGTTTGTGGCTCTTAGGCCGGGTCAGCCTGGGCACCCCTGCACTGGAGTTTATCTGAACGTACTGTTTTCTTTCTAGGAAGTAATTTTTAACGCAGAAGTAGATGCTATCATTTGCACGATTGATTTAAAAGGCCGTTTACAGTGTGACACTCCGTTAAACGCTTAAGCGAGATCGAGGAAAATTACATCAACCTGTTTAGAACGATTTAATATTTCAGTAAAATCATGACCGGTTTTAAGTGATTGTGTCGTGGTGGAAAGGCCATGACGAAAACCATGTTGATTTACATAAGAAATAAGTTGTGAATCTCTAAATACGCAGTCAAATGTTTAAAAACAACGTGCTCTAAAAGTTTCGAGCAGTAAGAAGACAAAGAAATTGTCCGGAAGTTCCCAGGCAAGAGCTGAGATCCAGATTTGTGAACGAGAACGATCTTGGCAATTTTCCATTCTACAGGAAAAACGGACTCTGACAGTGATTTCTTAAATATTAGATCAAGATATTGTGAGCACCATTCTGCGTAGAGAACGAGGAACATATTTAAAATACAATCGTGACCAGCAGTTGTTTTTTTCGAAAGATTAAGCAACGCTGAAAACAGTCCCTCGGGAGAGATGAAAATATCGGGTAACCCTGATACACTCTAAAAAAAGCCCGTGCCTCTGCTTTCCAGCACAACACTCGGAGAGCCAATCACCGCAACTCACGGAGGCAGATCAGAGAATGACGATGCCCAAACATATGTTTAGACCAAAAAACGCAGACTGAGTTGTGACATTAAGCTATGCAAGCGTGACGTTTTGCATTGCTTATTGTCACAACTCAGACTACGTTTTTTGGTCTAAACATATGTTTCGGCATCGTCATTTGCTGAGCTGCCTCCGTAAGTTGCGCTGATTGGCTCTCCGAGTGTTGTGCGGGAAAGCGGACACACTGGCTTTTTTAGAGTGTAGGTTAGGTGGCAGGTTTAAACGAGGAATGATGCCGTTATCTACGGAGAAAACAAAAGAAAAATAATCATTGAAACCTCCAGCGATGGCACAGTCATCCCTAAATAATCTGTCTGAAACCATAAGTTTGGAAATACCTTTTCGAGCCGGGGACAAAGACCTCCAAAACTTATTGGGTGATTCCCTAAGGAACGTGTGCAAAGTGATATTGTTGAACTTATGATAGCAAGACGAATCATAGCTTTCAGTCTTGTGCGCATTTCATTGATATTTAAACGTCTTTTGCCCTTCCTGGCACATTGAGTTTTCGTTTTAGATGCAGGATGTCGCGAGTTATCCACGGAATTATGTTTTCTCGTAACTTTGATACTCGTTGGAACAAACCTTCGGAAACATTCAAGCACGGTTTCTTTAAAAAAATTCCAAAGGTTACCAATAGAAGGACCGTCAGAGCACATGTTTGAAAAAGAATCGAAAGACATCTTAAGCACGTCAACTAGTGACTCGTCTTCTGCTTTAGAAAAATTAAACACATGCCTAGAAATCTGCTTTTTATGTGATGGAGGTCGAAGTGTCGAAGTTGAAAACTCAACGAGTACCATTTGATGATCAGAGATCCCATCCACCACTTGGCAGTCGTACGTACGCTCCGCAAGTGGTTCCGATAAAAACACGAGGTCTGGTATAGGTTGAGAAGACGAGGTGATTCGTGTTGGACTACAAACAATTTGAAGTAGATTGTTATTATAAACCAGGTCAACTAGCAAAGATGAATTGGGGCAATCACTGCCACTAAACATATAATCCCAATCAATTAATGGTAAGTTAAAATCACCAGCCATAACAAGAACCGGGTATGTTAGTTTAATCTTAAAAACAAAATCAGCAAGATCAAGAACGGATGAGGAAGCATTTGGCGGACAATGGACTACGCCGAGGATGATTGACGGAGTAAACCCGGTAAGCTTTAGTCATAAACACTCAATATCAGGAACGTCATCGATTACAGCAAAATCCAAATGATTTTTCAGGATACCGGCAAAGGCCTTACCACGTGATTCGCGATCGTTCCGAACACTGCTATAGGATGGGGAATAATCTCTTAATCGTGAGCAGACAATTGACAACAACCACACAAAAACGAGAAGGAAGGACTCCGTGAAGATCGTACACGAAGTGACACAAGCTGTCATTTGCCGAACCGAACACTAAACACATCGCAAGAATATCTTGGGCTTCTGTAACAAAATCATTCATTGTCGATATACGCGCAGGACGTTTCGAACCCTGATAGCTTTGATACACTTCGAAGTTCGAATAAGTAATCGCGCCCACAGGCTGCAGCATACACGAAACTAGGTCAGC